CCCCCATTCCCTCCCCCCTTCCCGTCTGCCCTTCCCCTCCCTCTTCCTTTGAGCATGACGGCCACCGCGCCAGAGGCAACTGAGCCTCTTGACCGTCATAAGGTAGGCATCATTCTTCTCACCTGCCGGGCCATGCCTTCCCGGCCGCTCCTCCTGCCCCCTTCCCCGCTTCCCACTCCGCCCGGCTGCTTGTGTCTCTTTTCCCCCTCCAGGCCCTGAGGCTCACTGTGTACCCTCCTACTCGACCATCTCTAACACTTTCTACGCCCCGCCTCCCCCCCCCCCCTAGGTCTGTCCGTTCCTTCTGAATGTCTTTATCAAGAAGGGCGGCCACTACCCGTGCGTATGATTGGCTTATCACCAGCCTACTCCGCCCTTTCTCGTGTGTTCTTTCAACTCACCACATCTCATCTCCCCCCTCCCTTCGCACCCCCTTCTCCAGTGCCTCCGTCTACGCGGCCAAGTCCGCTCACCGGGACAGCCTCCAGATTTACACCTGGTCCGTGTCTTACCTTCCCGACACCCGCCCATCGCCCTTTTCAGCTCCCATCCCTGACCATGTTGCTTGTTGCCCTCTTGTCCAGGCTCGATGCGAGCCTTGCTGAGCTCTTCCAACTTGTGAGCTCGCGCATTGATATTGAGCCAACCGCCGTGCTGCTCTTCGCCCGGGTATGCGCTTCCCGCCTCCTCCTCTTCCTTCCCGCCCTCTTCTCGCTCCGGCCTGCCCCCCCTCCCCCCTCCCCCGTCCACGCCCATCCTGTCTCCCCTTCACACATTGACTCAGTCCTCTCTGCCGCGTCCATGTGCTGCCTCGCCCTCCTCCCTCCCTATCCCTTGCCTCCCCCCTCGCCCCCGCCCCGGATGTGCCAACTGCGCAGGTCTTCCACTCCCCCGAGGGCCAGCTCACCTACAATGCCATGGGGTCTGTGCCGGCCTCCTTGCTGGATGAGGGCACCCGCGCCAAGCGCGCCACCGCGGCACAGATCCGCGAGTCCAGCCGCACACTCAAGGAGCTGGGCTTTGCCATTGGCGATTTCATCGACATCGCCGTGGTCGACGAGCGCAACCTGGCCAACCCGCAGGTGTACATCCGCGAGGCGATGGAGTCGCATGCGGGCAATGCGCGTCGCGGCAGCCAGGGCCCCCACCAAGGCGGCCACATGCACCGCGGGCGTGACGATCGGCCCGGCCGTGGTGCGCGCGGCGGCGGTGGCGGCGGCCATGGCGGCCACGGCGGCCACGGTGGCCACGGCGGCCACGGCGGCCACGGTCCTGGCGGTCGCGGCGGGCGTGGCAGTCGCGGCGGCGGCTTCCGCGGGCGCAGCCGCAGCCGCAGCCCTGGTCGGTACTATTCCGGCCGGCGTCGTCGGTCTTTCTCGCGCAGCCGGTCGCGTTCGCCCCCGCGTTGGGGTGGTGGCCCGGGCGGCGGCTACCGTGGCTACTCGCGTAGCCGGTCGCCCCCTGCCTTCCGGCCGTCTTACTATGGGAATCGCGGTCCAGGTGGCCCTGGGGCTGGTGGCTTCCGGTCGCGGTCGCGGTCGCGGTCGCCGGTGTATGCCCACGGCCGCTACCGGTCGCCGTCGCCGTATGGCCGCCGCTGGTCGCGGTCTCGCTCGCCCTCGCCTCCGCGCTCGCGTGGCGAGGCCTACCCCCCGGCCCATCGTCGGCGGTCCTTCTCTCGTGGCCGGAGCTTCAGTCGCAGCCGCAGCCGCAGCCGCAGCCCGCCCTCCTACCGCCGCCGGTCGCGTAGCCCGTACTGAAGGGAGGGACCCCACGCGCAGCCGCTCCCCGCTCCCCGCCGCCCTTTCCTGCTCCTGCTTCCCTCCCAGGAAGAGGGCTCTGCTGGCGGATGGGGAATCACCCGGCGGCGCCATTTCCCTTCATGCATTGCTCGCCCGCCTTGCCCCTGGCCTTCTCCGCCTCCTCTCCCTTGTTGTCTCCCTGCCTCTGCGCATAAACATCATGGGTGCTGTGTCTTTGTGCCTCCCTGTGCGCGCCTTGTGCACGCGCATGCATGGGCACGGATGCCTGCACATACATGCGCAGCGCTCTTCCGCCTGTCCCTGGGACATGGGTCTGTGCGTCGACGCGCTGTCTCCCCCTTTGTCTCTCCCCCCCCCCCCCCCCC